AATTCACCCTGAATTGGCGCTGAAGTCAAAATATAAAGTATATTCTACATAAAATACATGTTTTATTTGCGTTAAAAATTCATTTAAATTTTTTCAAATGCAGTAATCTGTTAAAGTAAAATTTTCATATGTTCATGAAAGGTATGAAACCTTCGGCATAACCGAAGACAGCGCTGCACTTACTTGTTTTTAATAGGTTTAGGAACTATAAGAAACCTAGTTTCAGGTTGTAATCGAACCTAGTTACAACGTACATTAAGTTATCAATCAAAAATTACCTTCTCTGGTCATTTAAAATTATTAAACAATTCGATAAACTTATTTCCACATCCTTATATATAATAACGGGCCTTATAGATTTAATTTTAAGATCGAAATTTATAAAAAATTCTATTTTTCTATTTTCTGTATATTGAACCAGACCTCTACATCCATATGTTATTCGACCCCTAAATGCGAGTCCGAGGTCTGTTAGCCTCCATCACGTCAGGTTCGAGGTCATTTGAGACCTTCAATTACATTTAAATAATAAAATAATTGGTCAAAACTTTTTAGTATATGGGGTCGTAAAGTTATGATAAGCACTATACATATGTCAGCTGTGGTTTATTAGTAGAAACCATTTTTAAAACATACGTTGTGATTGAAATAATGCAAGCTACAATGCGTTTTGGCCATACATACACTAAGAAAAAAGTAACATGATTTTCTCAAACAGCGTCACTTCTGGGTTTTCAATGTTAACGATTCGATATAATTGAAGAGAAAAAGTATTTTTTAAACAAACTTAAACATAAGTTTGTTTGATCGATCACAGAGTGTGGTGTCTTGAAATTATCATCAAAAATCAGTAATAAAATTTCAAACAACGCCACTCTGTTGCTTGTGAAAAGTTTGTTCGACCGGTCACAGGATGCTCTTGTCTACAAATTTTTATAGAGAACTAGCCAATGCGCGCTTGCGTCGCGGCGCTTAATAAGCACTTTTGTGGGGGCCATTGCAAAAATAGCGTTTAAAAGAAAAAACGGTATGTAAAGTAAAAAAAAAATAAACCACTAAAGAGCAGAATTCTCCTCATACATAGGCTAAAAATACCATATGGAATACTAATCCCTTTCGTTGTCATGAGCTTTGCCGATGGTCCTATTTCCACTTGTGAAATCTCTGCCAAGCGTTCATAATCTTCTTTGATCTTGCAACTACAACATTGCTCTGATGTGTAAGCCAACAAAAGTCCTTATAAGGAAGCTCAAGAGCACAGATGTGCGTTTTCTGTTATAGGAGGGCCAAGCGTCCTCGCTGCCCCACAGGATGAAAAGTTTTCCCGTACATTGGCTAAATGCGCCGTGTGATCTATTGAATATCATTCAAATGAAGCCATTGATATACCAATCGTGTTCCTTCTTGATCGGATGTGGTCGAATCTTTCCTTTTCAACTCGCCACTTTTACAATTCGTCTTAATATTTATGAACTGGTTTCTTTGAGTATAACTGCTGCAATAACAGTCGCCCCGAGCAAATTCGTTAATCGGAGGTAAATGCAAGATCGCATTAAGGGTGTATGAGGGCGTCAGACAAAGGTGCGCTTACACAATTTCATTTAGCCATCTGAAAAGTCAATTCGTATAAAATAAACATGCATCGCATGGATGAACTGTTAAATAGTTAGTTAGTTCAGAGCTTTTTTAACTGTAAATTCTGATGAAGTTGTGTTTTTCTATTATATATGTATATGCTCAAAACAACGTGGAGTAAGTCATTTTTGCTAATACAGTAATTTTCGTCATGTTTCGTAAGCACTTTGAAATGAAGTCTTCTTCGATGATATGCCCAAGTACCAAAATTTCACTGTGATGAGCATTTCGCTTGCGATGAAAGTGACAGATCTCCTGCGATTTCTGTACGATAATGTAGAGAGCAAGTAAGTAAGTACATTACTGACAACATATGTACATATGAAGCTGTATCAAATTTCAGTACGTTAGCATAAGCGGTTCCAGAGATAAGCGATATAAAAACTTCAGTTTGTGGCACCCCCACGCCCCTCTTACAATACCCGCCATTTTCCGTCATAAGTACGGTATTGATAACATATGTAGCTGTGTCAAATTTCAGAACGTTGGCTTAAGCAGTTTCAACGATAAGCGATATTAAAAGTTCAGTTTGTAATGGGAGGTACCAGGCCCCCTTTTCCAATACTTGCCACTTTCCTTTGTGAGTACGGTATTAATAATATATATAGCTGTGTTAAATTTCAGGACGTTGGCTTAAGCGGTTCCAATGATAAGCGATATGAGAATTTCAGTTTGTATGGGAGATGACACGCCCCGTTTTCCAATACCTGATTTTTTTCCATGATAACATATGCGACTGTGTCAAATTTCAGCAGGTAGCATGAGCGATTCCAGGGATAAGCAATATGAGAAGTTCAGTTTACATGGGAGGTGCCACGCTCCCTTTTCAAATACCTGCCACTTTTCGCCATAAGTTCGGTATTGATAACAATTATAGCTGTGCCAAATTTCACGACGTTAGCATAAGCGATTTCAGAGATAAGTGATAGGAGATGTTCAGTCTAAATGGCTGGAGCCACGGCCCCTTTTCCAATAGCTCCCAGTTTTCGCCATAAGTGGGGTATTTATAATTTATGCATCCGAGCCAAGTTTCAGTTCCCCAGCGTAGTTGGTTTAAGAGATATATTGGCGCGCTCAAAAAAAAGGTTGCAACATTTTATTGTGACGTATGTATATGTGTAGATGTTCATCATCCTCCCACTGAATAACAACGTTAGGAATATCCCGACCCCAGCGCCTCCTAGTGTGTAATTTTTTAATCCAAATATTCTTTTCATCTGGCTAACAAATGTTCTAAATATTAGCCATATCTGCAACTAAATGCAGTTTTTAAGAATATCCCGACCCCAGCGCCACCTAGCGATTAAATTTATAGTATGAATATTTCCCTTCAAGGTGCTGACACATGTTCTAAATATGAACGAAATCGGTCCAGCCATTTGGTAGTTTAGTGACATAGAGTATACGTAGGACTCTATGAAATTGTGTAATCGTGTCGTTTCAGCTTTCTTAATTTTTTGGCAACAACAACCAAAAGTTTTGAATTTTTTTCATCGACAAAGCTTCCACATAGAAGATCCAAAAAAGTACTTATTACAGAATTGAAATCGGTTAAGCCGTTTGGTCAGGCATCGCGGTCATACGAAAGACATTTCATTTTTATATATGAGACATTCTTTTTCTTATCGGACACCAAAATTGGTGTCACAGTTTCGATTGGCTTAAAATTTTTGTATGGGTTCTATACACGAAATAAGCTAATACGTGTTCGAGGATTTTTTTTTGCTTTTTTCTTTAGAGATATGATCTGCCAAAGTTTGCATTTTTTCTTGATTCTAACTAATCATGTACTCCCTCAAATTGATATATCTCGGGTTCTGCCCATCGTAGAGATTTCATCTTAACGCCGTTTTAAAGCTAAAGAAACGAGCTTAATATTTCTATATATAAGAAGGTCAAGAGATGGTTTATTTTGTGAGAATCAACATTTTTTTGTAATTTGTTTTCCAAAACTTATGTTTATTATTTAGTAAGGTGTTAAGCCTCGAGTTTGTGCAAGAATTTAAATTTTATTGCATATTCCGATAGAACACCTATCCAGGTATAATATTTGTATGGCAAGATTTTTCTCTAAGGCGACAAACCCCTAAAAATGGGTGTGACAATCGTAGGCACAGTATATACAGTAATAAACCTTTTCGCAGTTTTTTACCATTTGGTCCCCGAGGAGTACTTTTGGGTTGTGTGTAGCGTTTTCGTTTTGCGCGCACGGCAACACTTACTGTGGGGAATTTCGCCTCATGATTAGAAAAGTTCTTGCGAGGATAAAATATACATAATTATGTGTTATTTATGAACAAAATGTAGGTTAAGTATAATATTCATCTTTAATGTATACTGATATTCATGCTTAATGAAGAATAATATCAATCGTTAAGTACATAATTAACGCTTGTGTTGTATAAACTGGAAAACTCAAATCGTAATTAAAGCACTGAATGGAGTTTTCTTAAATGTAAGTTTAAAATTAAAAAAAGTCCATTATAAGATTATATTTTTATGAAAAACGTAAATTTTGTGAATTTATCAAGCAAAATTCTAAATTTCCGAATATATCTCAGTCTTTATTTAAAAAAAAACAAGGTTTGTATAGTTATAGAGACCCCAATGCCTGCCAGCGCATCCGCCCAGACAGTTCATTAAGCACACCCAAGTTTGAGTGATCTACAAGTTATAAACGTTTTCAGAATTTAACAGTTCATTATCAAGTACGGTGTAATATAACAAGTTATACACTGAACTATGATAATCTGTACTAGTATCTATAATAATAGACAATAATTTGCAATGTTTTTACACTTTTGCAATTAATTTCGGTCATTATTACACAGCCATGACTTGTGCCACTCTGCCATAGTACGGTTGTTGCCCCCTTTCATACCACAGTAATTTTGTATACAACTCTGAATGAACAAAATGCATGCTCCGTCTCATTATCAACCCTGATCAGATTTTACCCCCGAGGAGTACTCAAAAAGGTTTATTACTGTATATACTGTGATCGTAGGACTAAAGTTTGCAAAACGCAGATTTTATTGCGGATTTCGGCAGAATATCGCTTCGTTAACAACATTTGTTCCACAACTTTTTGAATGAAAGAATATTCTAGAAATGGGCGTGGCTATATTAAAACCAAAGTTCAAAAATTTAGACTTTATTGTGGATTTCGCCAGAATATCTAATTGGAATTGACACACATGAAATATGTTGTTACAGTTGGAGGTAGAGTCCAAGAAGTCCATTTTCACTTTGACTATTAAGTTATGCATTTTATTAAACAAATGATAGCTGCTACTTTCTCTAATTTTAAATACTCTAATATCCATGCCCATACTATACATACACAGGAAAATTCAGACGCTTACCTTTAGTATCAAGTAGACCTCCGATCTGTGTCAAATTACAATCCCGCTGCACTATGTAGTCAAGCATTGTGGATTCCATGAGAAAGGCGTAGTTACCTTTGTTCACGCGCCTTATACCCTCTTCGTAGGTGGAAGTGAAAGCGATAGCTTTCCTATTCTCCATGTTGCGCCACATTTTTCGATATGTTTCAATGATTGAGTCGCGAAAAAACGTCATAGTGGAGCCACTTTCCAGTGTGCCGTAGAAGATCTCGGTTTGGCTGGCCAAATCCTCAGCATTTTCAATAGGAGTTATCATGCGTTCGACGGTTAAAAATGCCGCTAAGTTAGCTGTGTACGAAGCAATGATAATAAGCGTGAAGAACCACCATATAGCGCTAACAATACGTGTGGATATCGACTTAGGGTTTATGTCAGATCCTTGCTGCATCAACGTGCCAATTGTAAACCAAAAGCTATTAGATAATGAAAACTGGTTAGTTATGGCAGGATTTCTCATGTCACATGGATATTTGTCTCGCCACTCGATTGGTGAAAACTTTGCCACGATGTAGATGGTGAATGAAACCAAAAAATAAGCAGCTAAAACGTAGAGCCACACATCATAGGCCAGTGGATTCATGAAGGAAAACAAGCGAGAAGCCGGTGTGGTTGGCACCTAGTAGATAGACGACAGGGGACAAAACAAGTACATAAGTATATATTTTTCTAGCAAAGTATTGACGTCGTTCGGAAATGTAAAATAGTAATACAAATGTTAATTTATTTTATATATTTATTTCTTACAGCTTAATTAAGCCCAGCTTGAACTTGTGCTGGCTACTGCATTAATAATAATAGATTGGCGCTTACACATATCGCACACCGTCTTCAAAAGAGTCACAACTCAAAATTTGTCATTTTTGAAATTATGCGCTAAAAATGTACACAGACCTTTTATTTACCTTTCAGCAAAAGCTGGAGCAAATTTTTGTTATAATTTGTTAAAAAACCTAAGGTAAAGTCGTCCTTGCCCATATGATTAACATGTGCTACGAAATAGTTTTTCGCATTTTCTGACTCTTTTGAAGACGGTGTGCTATATGTTAATGTTTGGCCGAGCTTCTCCTCCGATTTGTGGAGTGCGCTTTGATATTGTCACACAAAGCGGAGGGACCTACAGTTTTACACCGACTCCGAACGGCGATTGTATAATGATGAGAAGCTGTTTTTCATGGCAGAAATACACTCGGAGGTTTGCCATTGGCTGCCGAGGGACGACCGCTGTTAAGAAAAAACATTTTTTTTCTATATTTTTTTTTTGCGATGTTGCTTTGACCAGGGCTTGAACCCTGGTGCTGCGGAGTGGAAGCGCGCACTGCTTACCACTACACCACAGCGGCCGACTGCATTACACTGAGAAAAAAACGGGTTGTAAAATGAAATTTTTTTGTTTGATTACCGTTTGAAAATGTTCGTATTTAAATCAAGTGAAAAGTAATAAAAAAAATGGAAATATTCAATTCAAATACGCCCGTATTAAAATGAACCATTTTTCACTGCACGGATGGCATTTTGAACGTCTCGGATGCTTTCTACCTTTTATTAGCTCGGGAGGTAACTATGCAATATTGATGCGCCTAAGCGATTTAAATTCTCAAGTTACATACCTGTTGACAGTACGAATGGGAATTTTAATAGCGAGGTTTTAGTTATTTAAACTATAATTTTATTCTTATGTAATTAAGGGAGTATATGTATGTATCGTCGTCTCAGAAAACGGATGTCGAATGTTACAAAACACGGTTTTGAGAAAATTGACTTTGAAGTTTAAGGTCGAATTAATCCGGAACTGTACGGCAAATTTTTGTAATTTTTGAAGGAGACGTAGTTGGTGTTATTAGTTTTGATTTTCTATATTTTTACATCTAATATCTCTTAACGTTAATGAGAGAATTAAATTTTCATTCCTTACACATTTGTCGTAAGTAGCGTTTACTGACCACTTTATTTTGTCCATAGAACATACGACAATACTAAAGTAACTATTTCAACGACGATGATATAGTTTGATGAAAAAAACAGACATATTTATTAAATAATGTTTACTTATTAGAAAAACATAACAAAAACATATTCATACTTAAATTCAGTCTTTTGTACATTTTTATATCTTTCATTTCATTGGGGACTCAGTGCAAGCTAAAATATAAAAATTTAAAATTAGTTACTTAGTTTAATTTCCAATTTTAATTGTGTCGTTATAGTAGAGGACCATCGAATTGTTGTAAGTTCAAAGTTTTGCGATACATACGACAAATGTTTTATGATTAAAAAAAGATTACATTTGTATGGGAATTTGTCATATGTGCCACATGCGACAAATGTTTTATGATTTAAAAAAAAGTACGTTCGTATGGGAATTTGTCGTATGTGACGCATTTTCGGCACATAAAACAAAAGGCATACCCAATCATTAATATTATGTAACATACGACAAAATGCGCTCGAAATATCTCAAAAACTAAGGGAGATATAAAAAAATGGATTGGGGAAATCAAAAGAGCATGTCCAACTTAGTAAATCTGCATCAAAATCCCAAAATCGTGATTTTGCACATTCGTCATCCGTTTTCTGAGGCGACGGTATACAAATCGTTCACAGCGGTGACAACACATACACCGTACATACATGGTACGACATAATCCCTGCAGGGAAACCCCAAACTAGTCAGGAAAAATATTAGTTTACAACTAGAATTTCCTGACTGAAACCGAACTAGTTCGAAAATTACCAGACTTATACCAAGTACAAACTATTTATTCATGCCCTGTTTTGACTTCGACAGTTTAATACAATAAAGTAAACAAAATATTATAACTTTTATTTGGGTATATTGTAAACCATTAAAGGGAGTACGTATTCAATTATACAAGACCTGTTAAATAATGATTAATATTCATAATGATTATTAATTAAAGCATATTTCTTTGGATAACCGTTTAATGAGTAATAATTAATATTTTCAATTATTTTTGACTTGTTTCAATTACACGATTATAATTATTTGATTAATTTCTATTATTAATCATCAAGAAAAACTATTGACACTATTATATCATTCTTATCCAAATCTCAAATTTTAAACATTAATTATTACTTTTGTAAAATTTTAAAAAGAAAAGACTGGAATGTGCAAAGTTAATGAATTTAATTTATTTTAATAAAAACTTTTATTTTTATTTTACTTCACTCAAAAATGAACTAAAGTCTTCATTTTATTTTTAACGAAAATGTTTCCTTTTGCATATTCAATATTATTAAAAAAGATAAAAATATACTATTTATTGCACCTGAAACCTTTTACTTTTAATAACCCTTAATGAAAAATGTGTAATATATTAAAGTGTACTTAATAAAAAGTGTTTTATTGTATATTCATGAATTCATTTTTTTTTACTCCCAACGTAGTCGTTTTGGTCCTAATAGGACTAGTATTTTTCTGTCTATTTTGAACTAGTATGAGACTGGTATATTTCTGACCGAAATCTGACAATTGCCATCTCGTAGGACATACCCATGTTAAAAATACCAGTTGATTGCATGGAAAAAAGAGAGTTGGCTGACTAGTTGGGCATGCGGTGCATACTAGTTGTGAGGTAGTTTACAACTAGTACGTTTGACTACAGGGATGCTATAAACGCGCGCTGTGATGTTGATTGATCAACATTTGAAAATACATTTACATGTATGGCTGTAGCCAATGGCGTAGCCAGGATTTGGCTTTGGGGGGGCCGTGAAAAAAATTTCCATCGATAATTTAAATTTGTGACACACAATGGCTAGAGGCGTCGCCTGAGTGCATTCTTTCATATATTTATGTATGTGCCAGTTTTACCGTTATATATTTTTTATCTACTCGTTTATTCCATGGGGTCTTAATGCTTTATTTAAATTTAAAAAATTAATTTACTATACCGTTTTAAAAATCTGAAAGTTCACTGCGGGAAATTTTTGTATTCTCTTTTTGTCTTCGCCTTCTCGTTTTTGCCTTTATAAGTTTTGAAAAAAGGTTTTGAACGAACCATTATATCACATTCCTATGCAAGTTTTGAAAGAATATTTTCGATACTAAATTTTATTAAAACAAAATGTTGAAATCAGCTTCATATAGAAACCATGTCATCGACACTCACATATTGACTAGATTTGACTATTTATTTTATTATATTTTAATTTGAATTATTTGTTTATAAAAATATAGTTTATTCCTTAACAAACACTAAATGAAAATAAGTTTAATCTTTGAACAACATTAAAAAAAATCGACATACTTTCGTAAAAATTTCAAACTTTCTATTTCAATTTTATCTCTTAATATTTTGCAGTTTTTTAGCTCATTCAATTTTAGTCTAATAAAGTGCAAATATTTAAAGTAGCTGTGATTTATAGTTGATGTATGGCATATTTTTGACGATGTCGGTAATTTTCTTCCATATTATCTAAGTATGTTCAACGATTTTTTAATGAAGAAAATGAGCAACACCTTCATCAAAAAAAAAATATATTTATAATAAAAATCAACGATAAGTCGCAGCTATGTATTTTAAACTTGCGCTTTATTTGAATTGATCGGGCTACAAAACTGCATACTCAAAATATGTATTTAATATATATTTATAGGAAATCTAATTAAAAAGCTTTACGAATGTTTGTTGAATTTGTTAATGTTGCGCAAAGATTAAACCTTGAATTTATACGGGTTTTGTTAAAGTGTAAACTGCATTTTTATAAACAAATAATTAACATTATATAATTTTAAGATAAATGGCCAATCTAGTTAACATGTATAAAGTTTTGATAAGCACTTGAAATGTCAAGTTTTAGTACTGAATTCAAAGAAGATGTCTCTTTTATCCATTAACTTTAAACAATTTTTGTGTTAAGAAGTGTATCTTAAAATATCTGCCTTGACATTTATGTTAAAAGTGTAAAATATGTAAATGTACCTACATAAACTTTCCCGTGAATACCATCAAAGCATTGGTCTTGAAGGGAATCTATGTATGCATGCATGCATATAAGCATTTCACTTTCTTTGAGATCGTAAGTCACATTTTGGTTTAAAGACCATGTATGTATTTTTATATCATGACAAAAACTTTGAGAAGGTTTTATATAATCTTTTGCTTTAATTAGGAATCGAGGGTTTTTAATTGTAATCTGTTTCTACATTTAGCTTTTATCAGATTCTGAACAGAAAAGTCACGTTCAATTTTTGCGGAGGAATGTGAAATAGACAATAAAGGTATTTTAAAAATGTTTGCAAGCATCGGGTCGTTCAGTTCGTTTTGAATTTATTTAATTCGTTCCCATAACTTGCATATCGTTGGCTTAGTTCGCAAACGTGCTAAGTCCACTTTTTTTATTTTTCAGGAGGGACAAAAAACCGTCTAACTTTTTTGTTTTCAATATTTTCTAATCTGTAAATGCAGTTTTATTCCTTAGTTCGTCTTGTTTTAGTACCAATAATCGGCCAATTTCCAAATAAAGCTGTTGCAGACTTATAGGCTCTTTTAGGACTTACCACATTTTCTCTTTAAGATTTTATTCTTTTAATGTGGACTTAGCATCAATCTTTTCCATTATTTTTTATTGTTAAAAGATTTAATTGTTTAG